AGTGATTTTCCTACATAAAAAATATTATCTTGTTTGAGTACTTATAGTAGCATGGCATGCCCTTATTATTTTGGGGGTGAAAATATGTATATTATATTTAGAATATAGTGACCAGATTAGTTTCTTTGATTGAAAACTATAATTCTCGCCAATTAAAAATCCTTGAAAAAAAATAAAAAAAATATATATAATTTTTGAAACGTTTTATAGAAATAAATCATTCTTGACATAGCATGCGGTAGGACTTTATGTTTAAAAATAATTAATCCCTCCTTGACTATGTGGAATGAGGATAATTTTGGTAGTTTAATGATAATGATGATGCATTATGGAGATCACGATAAGTTAATCTTGCTACATTGGTCCAAAACACTATGTTAGAGTTTTTTTTTTTTTTAATGGTGAGGAGTCCTTGACCATTAACATCTTGGGGTGGAATAAAAGTAGTGAAAAGGGTGGAAAGAAGAGGGATGTAGTCATGATGGAACTAGGATAAGCATGACTAAATCCCAAAAAGTCTAAATGAGGGTCCTAGAGAGGAGCCCAAAATCAAAAAGTTCTTACTAGATTGGAAACATGTGAGGAGGAAAACTAAAAAAATGAATGGAAATGAATATGGAATGAATATATATAAGAAAAATACATTCATAATTTTTGTCCATGCCTTTTATATTAATATAGGTAACAAAAAAATCATGATTTTCCACCACAAAGTGGAAGTACTCCAAATATTGGAAGAAATTCTTTTTGTAATTATCATTTTTGGTTGAATGAAAATCAAAGTTCATCTTCATTGATGGATTCTTATTTAATGGTATAATCCAAGGTTGAAAGCTTAGTGGCTTATAAATAATCACAATTTTTATCAAGAATTAAGTTTTATTTCATTTATATATTTTTACATTTCTACCACCATTGTATATAATTCTAACTTCATTCTCACACCATTGTATTCCTCAAACCTCCCCTTCCATTTCAATAAATAATTCCCCAAACTCATTGCTCACCCATGTAAGGCTCCCTTGGAGCACTTGGGTTTCACTCATCTGAAATCAAGACAACCCATTTCCTCTACATCAACATTTTATACCATCCTTTTACCAACATATTTAACACCTTCCCACCTATTAGCCTCTTCTAGACAAACCTTGTTCAAGCCTTACCTATCATCCAAATCCTTCAAATGTCCATAGGTTCCCCCTCTTAGCTACCTCATATTAAGCTACCTCTCAGTAGCTTAGCGGCAATCAAAATCCTCCATTCTGTTCACCACCTCATCTTAATTCCATAACCACAAAATTCACATAATTTTCAACATACTAATCTTGCCACCAAATGCCTCCATCAGTTGGTCTTATCATAACCCACTATTGACTTCTTTTTTCGACTTGCACACTTAAAGTTCATTATTTTGAGTCACAATCATAAATATTAAACTTAGAAAATTAAGATGAGGTAAAACATCTCAAAGTATATTGTAGCAGTTACAATTAATTTATGACTCCTAGCATTGACATGTGACTGACTCTCAAGAACAAACTTTCATAATTAGAGATTAATCTTCTTGAATTTTTTATGAGGTTGAGAATAAATATTTTTGCTATTTGTAATGGTTCATCTTACTAAAAGAATAAGAAATTAGTTTGTTTTTGGGATATTTAAACTCAAATTCAAATTATTCAACACTTAAAATTGTGTCAAATTCTTTAATAGGATATTCATGCTATTGGAACGGTTCTTCACCCATGAGAACTTAAAATTTCATATACAAAATTCAAAGATAAAGTAAAACGTCATTTTAATTATATATGACCTCATGATAAACTTTATTGGATATGGTCATATAATTTCGCAAGTTATCCCCCTCTTTCAACTTAGTATATAAGAGACTAAGATGTATTCATTAGTCCCTCTGAAAGGAAAAAAAATGCCATTAATAAGTGAGAGAACTCGTCAAAGGAGTTTATATTCAATGTGGGCAAGCTGTCGAAGCACCTTCATGTATAATCATTGAAGGTGGTGGGATACTGTAGAGTTGATAGCACTTCAAATATTTTGTGGAAAAAATAATCTTGAGCTTATCCAAGTGATCAGTGAGGTTAGCAGTCCACCTGTATGTCTTGACTAGAAGATCTATACAGTTTCATGGAAAAAGTTCTTCTAGAACCTTAGAAGTAAAATAGGAGTTTTGTTTTGTACTCCTAGATTATGTAATTGAAATAGATAGAGTTAGCATAACATCATTAACTATGACTTTATTCTTATGGGGATGTTTTAATGGTGTGGTAATAGAAGCAAGTTGGTATTAAGAGCAACATTGATTATGTTAGTAAGACAAGTACTATTTGTTGAATGATCTTATAAAATCAAATTTTCATTTGCTTGTGAACAAATGTATTGCAATACGATCGCTCAGTGAGATGAAACTTAGAGTTGATTGCATTAGACTTGAAATGAACATAAGTTTTATGAATTTATAACATATAACATTATTTATTTTGAAAGTATAACTAACTTTCCTAGAAATAAGATAAAAAAATGTGAATGAAACAAGTTTTCTCTTGATTAATAAGAGATAAATTTAAGTTTTTCATGCTCAAAGAATATAATGAACAGGAGAAAAATAACTATATATGGGGTACTGTTTAAGAATGATGACTAAAAATTATATGAGGTGATTAAAGAAAAATATGGTGATGGAACAAAATAACAATATAAAAAATATTTTTAAGTAGTTTGGGCTTATGACTAATGCCTACTATGAGGTGTTTAGAGGAAAATATTTACTAGCTTATAAAGATTGAGTACATTGATGTCTCTAAGAATATGAATGCTTACATGAATTTAGTAAGCTAACTAGCAATCTCTAAAGCTCAATTGATCCCTTTTATGAGAGCCAAGATAATTATTTTTTAGAATAGTTATTGCTCCCAAAAGATGAATTAAAGATACATTAAATATTGAAGTAGCTATAATGTCATGCATTATCATTGATAAATATCTCGAAGTTGATTTTTCTTATAATGCTCATTTGATTCATCATCAATCTATAATATTTTTCTTCAATAAATGTATGATATCTATATATCTTTAATTTCATTTAAGATTAATATTTAGGATTCTCCCAAAAAAGCCTATTGATAGGAGCTATTGTGAGTTAATTCATCTTCTCAAGAAGATTTTGGATGGGAAACTTATGAAAGCATTCCCAATTATATTGCTAGATTTTGTGAGGGCATGTATTGTGGAAGTTAAACCATTATGGAATTTAATATTTTTGAATGCTATGCCATATATTTAATTAGGTATCCTTCTAACACTTGATGGATTAGTACAATTCAACTTAATTGATTAGGGTAAAAAGTAAATAAAAATGGGCTAAAATGTCACCCTTAGTTGACACACCACAAATTTACCCTATTATGATGAATAGTAAGCAAGATATGATTATCACTAAGGTTTCGTTTGGGACGGCTTTTTTACTGCTTTCTAAAACAGCTTTCTAATACAAAATTTCTTGAATTAAAAATTTTTGTACTTAAAAAATCATTTTAAAAAGCAATAAGAAAGCTGTCCCAAATGAAGCATAAATCTAAGATTAAATTTACCGCATGAAATTTGAGAATTTTGATGTGAAAATAGTACAATTGATGGACAACACCATAATAAAAAGAAAAAAGAAAAAAAATTACTCGCTTACAAGAAACTAAATAGAAAAGAGAAATCCAAGAATATTGAGGAGCATTATATGTTATTGATGTTCACAAGATTAACGATATAAATAAGGTAAGAATAATAATAAATCAATAGATAGAAGGTAAATTTATTTCAATTAATTCGATTATTAAATAGAATTTCAATAACATAATTACCGAAGAAAAAAATTCGAATAGGATCATTGCTTATGCACCTCAAGCTGCGTTAGGATTTAATTCAAAACATAAAATTTTAGAAGAAAAAAATTGTTGAACTATTACAACTTATACTACTTAGAAGAAGGAAAAAAATTTTCCCAACTTTATTTGGTGATTCTAGGAGAACAATTGACAACATTACATAGGATAATTGCTATGATTTTATATTTTAAATTATTAATATACCAAATCAGAAGAAGTCATGTCAGTAGGCTAAAATAAAAAAATCATAATGATGAAAAATTATTAATATTTAAAGATGGATTAATAAGGGAGAAACATTTTTTTTTTTTTTTTTTTGTTGAGAGAAAAGATGATTAATTATATTAAGAGTATTATTGAGATTTAGAGAGACTATAAATATATAAAATTCTGATAAGAAGAATTGATAGAGTGAAGATGTAAGAAGATTTATGAAGATAGAAAATATAATTTATATAAAATAAATACTATAAATTATTTTATTGGTATAATAATTACAATATATAGCCCAAGAGTTCTCACTTATCATATATTAACATGATGGACAAGCACTAAATTCAAAATAATTATAACATACATTTAAAATGGACTCCGTTGATGCTCGCATTTTATAGGTTATATAATTCTATTTGTATTTCACTTCCTATCAGAGTCATTTTTAATGGTAAGGCTACATTTGGATAGCTTGCTTATTATTTTTTTAGAGTAGTTTTATAGTATAAAAATTTCCAATTTAAAAAAATTTATATTAAAAAACAGATATAAAAAATAGTTAAAAAACTATTCCTAACAATATCCCCAACTAGAGAAATTATTATTTGTGGAAACCAGACGAAAAAATGATCCGAATTTGCTGCGCGCTTACTGACCTTTTGCAAATAATCGACAAAAGCGCAACAAATATGCAATTATGAATACACTTTTGCCGAATATTTGCTACGCTTTTACAAAATGACAGAAAAAAAGCAGCTAAAGTAGAGCAAATATTCAATTAGTAGGATATTTGCATAATTTCCCCCGAATGGAAACTAAAACTTTCACCGCTAAACCTAAAACAAATGAAATCGAAAACCAAATTTTAAAGACTTGACTATGAATACATCATAATGCAATAAGAAAATCAACATAATAAATCACCAAATAATTTTCATAAGTATTTCGACATCAAACTGGAGACTATTTAGAAACAAATTCAGTACAAGCTGAGAGTCGGCAACAAGAGATTTCGAATCACTTTTACCTCCACAATTCACCGCATGTGGTTGAGAAAAGAAGCAAATTAAAGAAAAACAATTGCTCTTCACTGCTTGCAGTACTGACTCGCTGAAATCTGCAAAATATACCCTCCTCTCCTCTGATGCCCTCTGATTTACCAGAGAAAAGCTTTAGGAGTAAATTTTAAGCCAACTTTCAACTCCTTGTACGTATTAGTCGCAAGTAGAAGGAAGTTGTCTATTACCATCACTGCTCTTCCACATTGCTACTGGAACCGAGAAACCGAACGACAACACAGGTTATATTGTCGGCGCTTCCCCTCTGAGAAGCTTCTTGCAGCAGGCTCTTGGCAGCTTGTTCTGGATTATCGATGGGTTTGACCATGGCTACAGCCTCCTGGATTGTTATGGATGCATAAAATAATTGTTTTCAGAGGAATATAATGGATGCTGACATTTATAAGTAAGAATTCGTAAGTACATACCTCATTGGAGACTACATCCCACAGTCCATCACTGGCAAGGATGAGGAATTCTAGAGATCCATCAACCACCTCTTCCTGCGGTTCCATAAAAATCATGTTAGATATGGAAATTAATTGTGTTGAAATTTTCTGAGATCAAAGTACAACAAGCTGAACATGAATGAGTTGGGGATTGCTCGGCTTTGATAGATTTCGAGCCAAACAAAATTTGAACTTAAGGAATTTGTTAGACCGGTCCACTCGAGCCATATGGGACTGGCTTACGGGCGAAACAGGCGGAGGTTTTCCACCTCCTGTACGCAGGAGCCGACCGCCCGGGTTTGGCGGTGTCTTTTTGGAAGGATTTTTGAGAGAGTTTAGGAGGGAAATTTGAATGTAGGGGCTGTTTAGATATTTCCTTTTGAATTGTATGTATTAAATAGTTGATTTTGCTAGGGTTAGGGCATCTTGAATTTTGGCTGAAATTTGAGATCTCTTGGGTATTTTTCTTTGGGCTCTAGCGGTGTCTAGAGAATCGGGAGAGATCAATTCTCCTCTCGAATTGAGGATCACTTGTATCTTGTTTGTTTTTCTTTCGTTAGTTGATTTTTTCTCAATAAAGTGGGCTGCTTTTCTTTGATTTTTTTTCTCTACTTGTTGAGTATTCTCATTGATTTTGTCAAGATTGTTAGGTTTCACTTGAGATCTTCAAGTGTTTCCTATCAGAATTCAAGTTAATTACCATTCCTTGCATAAAAAACATCTTGATTGATAGTTCTGTTTGCAGTAAAAAAGAGTGATCCTCATAGTACATCATCTTTTAAAGGATAATTTAAACACGTGCTTTCAATAATGTAAGGATATCAGATGCTTTTAAATGGTAAAATACACAAACAAGAAAGTGAAACTCACGTTATTATCTATGAACATAAGCATAAGCATTTGTATGTACTAAATATATTAAACACTAATCCAACCAAACATGATCGAGCTGGTTCTTATTTGTGGTCGCACTATTTAGTAAAAGAGTCAAAAAAATTCTTGGTTAAGTTAAACTAAAGCTGTTCACAACATTGAACCTTTGTTTACACCCCTAAATGAATGCTTAATCATCTGCAGAAAGCAAATTAATTCAAACAGTTAACAGTTTGGAAATAAGCATAGATGCACTTCATCGACCTTTACCTGAATTTCAGGATCTGCAACCACATACTGCTTCAAGAGACGATCACCAAATGCACGGGAAACAGCCAAGACACCACCAACACGCCATGTGCCTGCATAACATCTTCCTAAGACATACAGACTTAAAACTACAGTAATAAATATCTTAGTTCTGAGGTCAAAATTACCCGCCCACATAACAAAACCTCCAGCATCCTCAATCCTTTGCCTCTCATCTGTTTGATCAGGCTTGTGATCTCTTGAAACGGCAATGGCTGAAATTGTTTTACATGATAATGATTTAAAATTACTATCATTTCAGACTGCAGAGCAACCAAATTCATGGAAAGTAAGCCAAGTTTTGCGTTAATATCAGGTCGTTTGAAACAGGAAACAAAAACTATGACACAACAATTTCAGAATGCAACAATATATGTTTTACATATTGTCATTTCTCTCATCATCATCAGTCATATCCCAAATATTTAGGCCAGCTTTACAAATTCTTTCCATTCATTCCTACTAAAGGTTGTCTCAAATGTTAAATCTACTCTTCGCAAATCATTTTGAACAACTTCTAACTATATTGCCAAAAGCCTACTCCTTCTAAATCTTCATTATTTATCTAATGAATGCATTTTCTATCCTTCATTATATATGTCCGTATTTATTTTCAATTACATTATCTTTTATAAATGTCACTACAATAATTTCTTTAACGTAGTAAATCTATCATTCATCCTTCATAATTTGGCAACACAACCATCTAACCATTCTCATCTCTATCACACTCAATTAAGATATCAACTTTTTTTTTTATGCCTGGAATTATCAATCGGATCATCATTTTATTAAATTTATCTTTTAGTCTCTAAAATATCAAATTAGCATATAGCATACTCCCATAGCACTTTTCCATTTTAAGCATCCAATATTAACTCCGTAAGTTATATCCACACTATCAACATTCTTCTAAATAATAGATCCAAGATGCTTAAGCTCATCATACCAAAATATCGTATCTTTTAATACTATTTGATTGATAATTGTTCATATAACACCAACTTATATTGCATATTGTATACTCAATTTTTATTCTCATATTGTATGCTCGATTTTGATTCTACTAATTCAAAACAATATATCTTCTAAACATTTTCTTCATTGTTTTAACTAACCACTTATTTCTAAACATTTTCTTCATTGTTTTAACTAACCACTTATTTCAATGGATGTGGAATGATTAAACCTATCACTTAAAATAAAAAAGCATAAACTAAGGTATCTCATTTTAAAATCCTACCAGTTTTACTTCATTCCTTTAACATCATTTTCATGTCAATTTGATATCAAAATACATTAATATTGTTGTGTTTGAATAATTTCAGAACATACATGCACTCACCCTTTCATACCAATAACCTAAACATAACAAACAATAAAAAGATTCATTAGAAAGCAAGCCTCATTATTCATAACCTCTACCAAAATGTTTAAAGTATATCACTTGATCAAATAATTAGATTTCAGAAATAGAAGATATCACATCAACCTAAAAATTTTCTTCAAATGCTCAGTATGTTTTTATATATGCCTCATAACCTCATTTATAATCACAAGGCCAATGAGAAAGTTCATTTAATCAGTCATGGATAAACCAACAAGGAGCGACCTAGCCGCACAAAGAAAGTCTGCTAGAATAGAAGCCGCCTAAGAATAAAGAACACAGTAAGAATCACTAAAGTAGAGGACTCAATTGCAACAAAGGAAGTCATTGGACCCATACATGAAAAACCAAAGGAAACAAATGAAGCTATGAATGCCATGGAGCTAAACCATTCATTTTTCTAACTTTTTATTTATTTAGGAAAAGAAGTGACCAATTAGAGTTGTATTATCTACAGATCGCATACATTAACGAACCTCAATTTAAATATCCTTTATAAGCATCTCTATAACTAATAAAAAACAAGAAAATAATATTATGCAACACACAAGAAAGTAAGACATAATAATAATAAAAATAATTCCAAAGATCATATGGTATAACAATTGAGAATTTACAATACTTAAAGAGAAAATGAAATAATTAAAAAATATATGATAAAAATATTATATGGATTGAATAGATGTGACTTAATGATTTTAAATAAAATTTTACATTTTCCATCAATTAAAATTTTAAAAAACTAAAAATTCAAGAGAAGCCAATTAAAAAAGAAGTTTTCTCGTTCTTTGGAATTTTTGGAGGAAGCTTTTCCTTCTCAATGTAATTATATATATGGAGAGAGAGAGAGAGATCAACTTAAAACTCTATTTGAAATCAAAATCTTTGATTTTAATGAGTGGAGATCAGCTCAGTCGAACACGTCTTAATATGTAACATTCTTTATCTTTGTCCATTAAATGTTTAAATTTTAAAATCAATCTAAATCTTTTAATAATTTGAAAAGAAGATATAATTTTCAAATTGAGTCCTTATTGGAATTAAATGTAAAAAGTTAAAACTAGAGAATCCCATTTCAAAATGGAACACTCTTGTTATTTTGATTTTTTGGAGAAATGATCTCTCATTATAGCTCAATAGTATTTATATAAATTTTATGAACTTAAATTTAATCATTGATGTAATTCTTCTATTTGATTGCATCATCATGAACTAGAATACAATTCAAATTGAGGTCAACATGAAAGATCCCATACTTTCCAAAAAGTTTAAATCAAGGAGTTGTTAAAATGCTTGGCCAACATATATTTTGGGTTACTTTAATTCCACGCTCTAGTTATGCATTCTACATATGAACCCTTTCAAATTGGAACTATTGCAATTGATTATATAATCCCCAAAGAACACCTGCAATGAGAATGAATTATTGTAGACAGCATAATTGATAAGGACATCCGACCTTAGAGAGTCTACCAGAGGCGTGGCCGTCGATCTACGGCCACGATTGCACCGCTTTACTTTTGATCATCATTGTAATAGATTTATTATTGATGTATTAGTTTACGAGTTTTATTGTACTTTTCCTTTTATGCCCCCACTTAAGGGCCTAGTCATGTGTATTCCCTAGGGGCAAGATGGTCTTTGTATTTTTCTTCATTGTATTGCTATTTAAAGCATCCCCCTCCTTTCAGGGTTAATGAATGATATTATGAAAATTTCAGTAACTTGTTCCTTCTCAATCTGTGAGAAAGCTTTGGAAAGAATTCTAGGCAAGGGAATCAGATCACCCACCAGTCGCAAGAAGCGTCCAGGCTCATTGTCATCTTTATTTGCTTTCTTTCTTCCCCTCCCTCTCCTCCAACCGTCAGCCATCCCCTCTCCAAAGCTCTTGGCCAAATCCCCACCACCATCCCTCCACTTGAGCCGACCACCCATCCACCCCTTCTTTCAAGCAGCCGACAATAAGGATCCCTCCTCTCCTAGCCACCACCTCCCAAAAGCCCTTCCTTCTTTCCTAGCTGTCACCATCCAAACCCTAACCCCCTTAATTGACTGTCGGCCCCAACCCCAATTTCTCCTAGCCGCCGGACATAGTTCCCCTCTTTGCCTCCAAACCTTCAAGTCCCAAATTAGTTACTTTCCATATTTAGTGTATCTCAATTTGGGAAGATTTCAAATTCAAATTTCAATTCTAATCGAATTGAAATTCTTTCCTAAATTAGTTAGGCTATATTTGGAATGTTTCCAAAATCAAATCAATTCAAATTTGAATTCAAATTAAAGAGATTTTCATGATTAAATCTCTTTAATTTATTTGACCTTGTTTGGAAACAAATTAAAACTGATCAACCTTACCTAAACCTAATTCCAATCAAATCCCAGCCTACGCCGCCCCTCCCTCTTTCTCCTATTTAGTTACCACCCCCATTAACCTATCCAATCAACCACTCAAACTTCCCAAGTTCAGCCGCCACTACCCTTGCTCCTCCCCTTAATTTTCTACCAAGTATTATCTCCCAAAAACAGCTCCTTATTCCCAATTCTAGGTTTCAAGTTGTTGTCCAGATTTTCTGGACGTTGTTTGGTGTCTGTCCAGAGGATTCTGCACTTCCCCTTGCTGTCCAGCCGGCCGAGAGATCGATGTTTGCTGTCCGAAAGTTCCAGCACACCAAAATATGTTGTTTCCTCATGAATGGCAGATTTGGAACTTTATAAGGGGTTGTTTATGACAACCAAGGCCACCTCGATATCCTCAACTCAACGTTCTTCGACCTCAACCTAGAGATTGACCACATTATAGAGGAATACATAGAGAGAATCATCTTCACCCTCGTTGAAGCCGTTGACGAACAACTCTCCTCCGTGCAGTGACAAATTAGTTCCAAACCCTGGCGAAGGTTAACACTTCCTACAAATTTTATATATTCTAAACTACTCTCAATTGTGGTCCTAATTGATTCATAAAGGTTCTGTTAACTCCCTCCGCTAAGCCTAGTATTCTCAAGAGTTGAGTAAAGGGATCTATTTTCATAGTGACTAGTCTCATTGTTAACTTAGAGATTTATCGTTGAAAACCATCCATGTCTGTTATACTTGTTTGATTGATTAATTTGTGACCTTAACTTCTAGTTGTGTGACTTGGCCTAAGCTAGTTTGTCCCTTTTCTTATTTTATCTCGTTATTTAAATTACTACAAGTCTTTTAGTTAATATTGCTCTCGAAATTAAAGAGTGCAAAATTCTTAATTAACATCGCCTAGACATTTAAGTCATGCATCAACAACAGTACAATAGTAGTAGCCAAAGATACGATTATCAATCAAAAAAACAAAATCGTGTTGAAGTAGCTATTGGTCAAAAAAGCATATGCATCCCTTTAATTTAATTTTTGGCTTCTCCATTTAACATTCTCTTTTGCTATGGTTTAAGAATAATGCAACTACAAACAAGCTACTAGAGAACAGAAGAACAAGAATGGCAATCAAGGCAAATGAATCACCTTGTAATATACTAAATAGACATGCCTTGTCGGTGCAACATTGTTTCACACTCTGAACTATGCTATAAATCCAATAATAAACCCCTCTCCTTGTATCCTAAAAGCAAATAACTTCAAGCCTAACCATGATTCCGTTCAAAGATTCATGAAACAAGACATATTAGCGATAAACTAGGGTGTCAATTTCATGTAAAATACAAACAATTCTGTAGTAGGTGCACCAATTTGTGCTTGTAAAGGCATGCAGCCTGCTGGTGCAAATGTTTGCACACTCCGTTAACTTTTGGCAGGAAGAAACTTCTCACTCACACTACCTGTAAGATAGCCACCTCATAACGAGGGAGTAAATTCATAGCCTCTTCCAAAGACTAGCAAGATATGCAAATTATCCTGCCAATAATAAACTCAACAACAACAACAACATCAAGCCTTTTGTGCTAATAATAAACTAGGGTGGCATAAATTCTTCCGGATGCCATCACCATCATCTTCATCAGCTTTATACCAACTATTTTGGGTTATCTTTATGAATACTTAATTTTCAACCATTCCAATTAAGGGTACATTTGGGCAGCTTTTTTATTGCTTTCTAAAGAAGACTTTTAGTAAAAAAATTTCTAATTTAAGAGAATTTTGTACTAAAAAGCTGCTTTAAAAACAATAAGGAAGCTGTCCCAAATGAAACCTAAGCCTACATGAGATGTTAAAATTATTTTGCATCGGCACCATAATTCTACATATTTTCTTTCTAAATCCATAAAAAATACTTGTCTAGTTGCATTTTCTACATGTCACTGCACATGCAAAACCGTCCAAGCCTATTTTCCTCAATTAATCTATTTATATATTCAATAGATGTCACTCTCATCATTCCTCTAATATAATTATTCTTCAATTTATCATTCATAATTTTTCACACATCGAACTTAATATTCTCATTTCCACAAAGCTAAACATAGCTATCAATGTTATTTTAGCCAATACTTCCGATCCATTTCTCATATTTCTCATACACTAGCATAAATGCATTTCTTTGAATCTGGTCCATTGATAGATATTGAACTTAACTAATACTTATCTAGACAATGAAGACAGTAGCTATCACAATTGCATTCCAGGAGGAATGAAAGTTGACTCAGAAAAATTACAGGTAACAATTTTGGTATAATAACTTTCATCGAGATATTGTTGTAGTTTGCAATATATTTGTAGTAAGTTTGAGTTCTCCAAGGGATTTTATTGGAGATGCATGGAAATATCCTCTAATGAATAAAACTAAATAGCTGCAGATTTGAAGACAGAATTCAACCTAATACATGTAAAACCAGTGGTGGTTGGAACACCAATGTAACTACCATCAAGTGAAGGAAATCAATGGAAAGTCTGAAAGCCTTCAGAAAGAAAAGTAATTAAAGTTCCTATGAGTGCAAATTATGCATTTATACAGTTAAAAAGTTGAAACTGAATCCGATTGAAATTTAAAATCAAACAAAATAAACTTTCATGTAGAATTCAATGCAATAACAGCATCAATGTGATATTCTCCAAACACATTAATAAGTTGCATTTAAGTGGCTCATCCTCTAAACCAAAAAAGCCCGTTCTCTTGAGTAAACAATTACTGGATCAGTGAAAAAATTTAAAAAAAAAAATAATGCCTGTATAACAGAGGAATAGTGCATAAAAATTGAACTTCTGCGAAAACATTAGTTTAAGAGGACAATTGTGACATCTTGTATCCTATTCTCAAATTTTTTTACTTCCCAGATAAAAAATTAATACTAAAATAGCCTTCAAGTAAGAAAATCATATTTCTGAATGTGCAATATAATTGGACTACTACAGGAAGAAAACAAATAAACCTTAAATCAAAAGCAATCACTAAATCAGTGATCCCAAAACTTCCCAGTGAATGGTTAACTATTATCTCCTTACTAAATTAGAGTATATGAACTGTATAAAATGCAAAAAGATACTCTCTTCACTCTCTTCAAGGCAATCAAATCTGCATACAGTTTTAATTCACATCTAAAAATATGCTCTAAATTTCATCTATGAGGCAACAAAACACATGCAAAATTTGAAGCATTGCTCATTTATCACTATAAAGAAAATAACTAGAGCAATTTCAAGCTTTCAACTGTGATCTCACCATTTCCTCCCCGACAAATGACAGCCCTAGAATCTCCAACATTGGCTACAAGGAGACGATCACCAACGAGGATAGCAGTTGAAGCTGTTGATCCAGCATCTCGGCTCTGATTACTTTCAGATCTTAAGAACTCAGAGTCTGTGTGGTTGTAGGCATCAGCTGAAAATTGAAAAATAGCTTATCAGATTGGTGATCTGTATTATTATTCATTAAATCAAAATTAGAAACTATTGCTGCAGAAAAAGTTTCAACTGTTCTAGCAGAAAAGCTCCATAGGAACTTTGGACTATTAGAACAAGGAATAATAATCAGCTGCAATATGTTTGTTGGCATAAGCTATAGTATACAGTTCTATATGTTATTTATATTATTAATTTTTGCAAGAAAAATAATCAATCATGAAAATGGAGGATCAAGGTGATAAGTAGGGCTGAGAGGTTAAAATACATATGATCTATTGCACTAAATAAAGTAAATATTAATGTTAATGAGACCAGTAGTTTCAAAATTAGTGTTTGTGTGTGTGTGTGTGTGTGGGGGGGGGGAGAGAGAGAGAGAGAGAGAGAGAGTGGCAGAGATGAGGATGCTCAGATGGATGAGTGGCTTTACCCTTAGAGATAGGATACGAAATGAGCATATACATGAAAAGGTTGGAGTAGCTCTAATAGAATATAAGATTAGAGAGAGTCGCCTTAGATGGTTTGGTCACATAAAACGGCGGCCTTCCGATGACCCGGTTAGGAGAGTAGAGGTATTAGATTTGACTTATGTTAAGATATGTAGGGGTAAACCTAAAAAGACTTGGTTAGAAAATATTAGGAATGACCTTTCTTTATTAGATTTAGACGAGAATTTGACTTTTAATAGGACACAATGGAGAAAAAGGATTCATGTAGCCGACCCCACATAGTGGGATAAAGGCTTGATGTTGTTGTTGTTGTTGTTGTTGTTGTTGTTGTATATAAGAGAAAGTTATACATATTGAATAGTAAAACATGGAAGAATAGAGGTCAACATAATCATATTAGAGAGTGACGCTATAGCATAGCAACTGTTATAAACAAGGTCAAAGCTAGACTCTGTGTGACTGGGAAGAAACCGAAGGAAAATGATGAGCCAATAAGGCAAGAGATAACTTAATGTGAAAAGGATGGTGCAAAATTGATTTAGACCAAAAGAACAATGAGAAGTTATTACCATAAGGAATAAGTTCAACTAGGATTAAGAACTCAGGCAGCGCTTGAGAAGAAGAAATAGCAAAAAAGAGTTCTTAAAGTTGAAAAAAAAATTGCAAGTAACTTTGGCACATGAATAGCATAACGTATTTTTGATTTAGCAAAATCTTGTTTAGTTAGGTTTGCTCGTATTACCCTCTTTTGCAAACGATTTGGAGTATGAACTAGGATCAACACTATATGCAGCACTTAAGGGAAGTAACTGGCAAAGAAGGGTTCATAAGAACAAGCACAGGTGGTGGAAAGTGCCAGAATGGTAAGATTTGACAACAAAACAGAAGTGAAAATTTTCTTATAGTAAGACCAATGATGATGGCGATGTAAGAGAAAATAACCTATGGCTGACTTGGTATCGCTGATAAACTTTGGGTGGTTGATCAAATTGCTGAAGAGGTGTTGTTTCACATACTCTGCTGCTCGGACACCACCATGACCTATCAGCAAGAACGTAACCATCAAATTAGAGAAATGAAAGGCATATAAGAAGTTACTTAAAATTTGTACAAACTTGATAAACCGTAAAAATAATGACACAATATTATGGTTAAAAATATCGAAACAAAAAAATTTATTCTTTAATAACAAGCAAGGGAGAAAGTAATTAAAGTTTCAAACAAAATGAATATTGATCGAGAAAAAATAAAGAAAATATCATCAAAAAAATGGCTATATGTAAAACAGAAAACAAAATCTCACCGTCAAAAACTCCGAAAAGACCAACAATCTCACCGTCAACCCCATCAATTCTGGTTTCATAGAAATCTTCCATAGCAGACCTCTTTCCAACAGAGCTCGCATACCCATAACTAAACTTTCCATTATGACTGTTAAGAAGAAAAAAAAAAGGAAAATCATTACTCAATCCCCATTTAACATTAGCAGGACGGAGTATTCGTCACAAGTTCATAAATGAAAGAAGCAAACATATATAGTCAATTAATTTCATCCCATTCGAATCACCCCATTCCTTTCTATAAATGCTAATCCTATCAAAATTTGTTGCACTCCCCCAAACAATATCAAATCAAGCTGAAAACAAATCGAGAAGAAACATACCTGAGCCCTCCGCCACACACGGGCGAATCAAACGTGTTAACTCCGCTAGAATTGGCCAGAGCCGAGTTGAAATAACCCATTGTAACCCAGTGTGATCAACCCCTTTCCCTTCCTCAACTCCTTGTTCAACTCAAATTAAACCAAAATATACGAAACCTCGCAGTAATAACCAATCTAACCTTGAATTTTCACCTCCCTCCGCGATCCAAAACCAATCGAAGTTCCTACCGAATAAAAAGCGCGTATCACGAGCCGCCGAAGGATTTCCAACAGGACACTTCGAGAATCCTAGAGACAGAAGAAAGCAAACCCTAATTTCCGAGGAGGAAAAACTATAGCTCCGACTTTTCAGGTTCGGCGAGCGGCGGAAACAGAGAAACACAGAAATTTCTGACTTCGGGTGCCGAATGGGTTTCGATAAAAAGAGTGGATGGAATTTGTTTTTGATGAGCGCGAGATGACGTAGAGGAAGAGGCTCAACCCGGTCAACAAATGTTGGACGGGCCGGGATCTGGACCGTCCGAAGTCATCCGCGCGGTACGCGTGCGAGGTGGCCGGCCGCGGCGTCGCGGGGCTACACGTGGCCTGAGGTCGCCCGGCGAAAAGGGCCGGCCGAACGTGTAATGTGGCACGCGTGTTGTCACGTGGAAAAGAGGTGGACCGATGCGGTCGGAACTGTGGGATTCGTGGACCGTAATTCATCATACTATAAATTAGTAAGATTAATCAATTTTACACAATTTTACTCAAATTTTTTATAACATCTCATTTTCAAACTCAATCGTATTCATTACCTTGAATGCATGAACAAGATTCCAACGCCTGTATATGTTCAATTTAAACTACTTTGTTAACATAAAGAACACTCGACTTAATAATATGCCTAAACATTTTCACGGGGTGCCAACATGATCTAAAACTACCAACATGTTATTATAATAGAATCTAAACAACACATAAAGTGGATTGGCCCAAAGTGAGATTGTTAATATGACATCTTATGAGGAGGAAGAGACTATCATTTCATTAACAAGAACTAAACTAACATACAAAAAGGAAAAACAATTATGCTCATTTGAATCCCCTATCTTTGGCCATTTTACTCCACAATTTCTCTCAACTAATTGTTGCTCAATCAATCCCCAAAAGTTATCATCCAATTGCTCAACATCTATTTAAAATGATAATTAATGTGAGATACATCAAAATTAGTGGGAAAATAAAAATATTAATTATAGGATATCATTATTTTAATTATAAAAGTTATGAGGGGTTATATTGATTATGATATTGACTTTGTCAACTACGCAGTCTAGCTCTATACTTTGCTTGATAACATATCAATTCTCTTTCGATTCCTCTTGGCAATATAATAGAATCTAAAAAATTTCCATAAATTTCAAGTCCTCTCAGTCCTTATCCATGTTCCTACTTTTCATGATTACATACCCACTCTTTGGAAGAAGTTGAAGGAGAGGAAAAAACTCTCTCTTTTTTTTTTTGGTTATATCATTTTATTTGGTGTCCATCCATCCATTTAGTTTAGAGGACACCTTACCATCATGATTTTTTGTGAACCTCTTCTTTAATAGATATTTACATTTCAATTTATTCTCTTAACTCATCAATATATCATAAGAGGGGAAGACTTTTTTAACCTCATTAACAAACTTTAAAAACCTTAAATGATTGAAATTTCTATATTCACCACCAAAAATATCTTCTTGTAGGAGATAGAGCCAATTGGTATGAGTTATCCCCAATCTTCAAAATCTAAAATAGCATATACCTAATTTTCTCCCTTTAATATAATATGTGGAGCCACACTAGATCACTTTCATCAAATTTTTTCTCTACTTGTTACCGATCATGTCAATAATTGTAGTGTTGTTGAGATCTTAAAGAGTTTTATCTCTACCTTAAAGTGCATATTTTTATTCCCTCTAGGAATATCTACATTTTTTGGAGTATCTTTATCACCTCTAAGTACTCGACTGCCCTGAAAGTGTTTGATTATCTTATCTAATTCACTTGATCACCTTTCTTAAAACATAGAATTGATTCTCTTATAGGAAGTTCATTGTTAACATCCTTTTTGAATCTAACTAGGGTTGGTTTATTTCATTTTCAGTTATTTTGAAGATTTGGATCCAACTAATTACCTAAAATACCAGCCTTAAAATTTAAGATCGACAACTTCCTATTATTTGCATTCAATACATGCCTATGACTTCCATGTTGCTTGGTATATATTCTCCAGTACTCCCATTTGTTTGTGTATGCTTTTTTGCATGTACTCAACCGTAGTCTATTTATATGCAATCCTAATCATACCTATTTACAAAGGAATTTAGTGGTATAGGATAGCAAATTTTCTCTAATTAATAGAGATAGTGAGAAGGACAACTTACATTATGATGATTCCTCGTTCAAATTCATCCCATCACCATAGGCCATCTCTCACTTACATCTTTAGGATCCTTATTTATAGGATATTTCAAAATGTTGACCAATATATATGGGAGGACATGGCCATGTCAATGAGCTTAAGTTCATTTGTAAGATTTTGGCTCCCACGATTGGTGTGTTCATGAACACTTAATATAAATAACTCATAATAATTTCAATAACAATATTTCTTAATGATTCATGTCAATATCATGGTAAGAAAAAACTTAGACATGTTCTCATTGCTATACTAGAGAGTTTTTTTTAGCTAGTTCTTTCACAATACTAATAGCCTATAGACGCATTTTATAATATGCTAAAAGGTCTTTCCTTTATATTTATGAAGGGCAAGTCACTATTGCTAGATAGTTTCTAGTGGTGTCAACTAACAGCATCTCTATCGATGCCCATCATGTCTAGATGGTAAGTTTATCCTACATTCCTGAAAGGCAAGTAGTTTGCTTGAAAGTTCCTAGTGATCATACCATGCAGAAGATATATTATTTATAAATGTCCCCTTAATCAAGTATGTTGATTCTCCCCACCAATGAGCAAAGGGCAAGTTAATTTTGATTCAGCCTACTTTGGTATTGTTAGTTTCTCTTGATTGTGAGAGGGGAGGCCAATCTTCTATTTTCCTTAAGTGTTATCATCATGATCCCATAAGACATCATTAGGGCAAAAACTATAGAGATTTTTTTTTTTTTTTTTGCCTTGAAGTCGGCTCAACCCATATTTATTCATATCCTTGATCATTGTACGTTTTGCAGATATGTCAATGGTCCAAGGGGGTAGTGCCCCTTGGTGGGGTTCAACCTGATTATAAGGATATTTTTAAATTTCCTTACAAATTTTGGTTGTAAGGGGCAAGTGCCTACAAATCCATGTAATAAAGATTAAAAAATAGATGTGGTGGGACAAATTATCTAAATGATCATATAATAATCTTTTTAAAAAAATTTCAGGGGGAGCAACTGGGCATAAGGTGGATCCGCCCTTGACTAGAACAAATAGTTAGTTTGGAGATCCCCAATAGTTGTCCACCCTCGCCATGGGAAAATTATGATGGAACAAGAGGATATAATTCATGATCATACCAGTCCTACTAGTATATAAAGTCCCTTTTATAGTTTCATTAAAGCAAAACATTCCAACGTTGAGGAATATTTAATGTACCTTTTATAGTGCACCAATGATTAGCATATAAAAAATTACTTAGATAACTTTAGGCAACATATCCTTGATCAGAAGAGGAGAGATATTCCTATTCATCATACTTTTGTAATCTCCATCTGGGCACATTACGACCCTCAAGACAAGTTTTACCAAAAAGTAAGGAGTTAGGAGGACACCATACAATTATTTATCATAATTTAGACTCGGATCGAGCTGATTTTTTACAATGCCATATTTTTCTCGTCAAGCTATTCACAATGATATCGTCAAGCTAAACAAGCATTACATGATATCAACTTGGATTCACAAAATGATAAGATGCTCAATCATCCCTTCACACGTGTGAGATCATAAAAGTTACGTGATAGTAAGTAGTAACTTGGATTCCCAAAATGAGAGAACACTTATGTTCAAAAATAATTTTAAACATCAACAAAGATCAAGATTTAAAGATGCAGTTTGGTGGATACCAAGTAATCAGCACAAGCCAAATATCTTTTGTTCAACGGTACCATGACTTGTGAACATGACAATATCAAGTGTTATGTTGAATGTGCACATTAAACAATAAAATATTCAGTCAAGATCTCTCTCTCTCTCTCTCTAAAGGAAAATCAAGCTCTAGGCATTTTTTTAGCGGACCAAAAATCAGAAAACTAACTGTTCATACAAACACGAATCTAAGTTCAATATCATGAATAAATTCATCATGGAATCCTGGGACAAAAGAAAAACTAGACTATTATTTTGTTGGGACATTTCATCGCACAGCTAGCGTGTAACTCTGACGGAGTTTTATGTAACAATCCAAAAGATATCATGCCATGAAATCAAACATGCAACAGTTCAAATGCTGCATAGATATATGGTTAACAAAATATCGAGAAAACCACCTTGAACGCTTTTTTTATTTTATTTTGTGAGTATGAGAAAATTAACTCAAGGCATTTTGGATTTTTCTCACAGAAATGGTAAATAGTTGCCTTACCTTCTTTTATATTACTCTGTATTCACTGCAGCGACGCCAAGCAAGAGGGTCGAAGTTATATCGCGCTAAGAAAGGCGGCAACTGGTCTCAGACTCTCATGGCGATGACTCGGGTGGCTCGTTAGCGGCCAGGGATGCACGAGCCACGAGGGATGTGGCCGGGGCTTGTTTCCTGCGAGTCAGGCGGCAGAGGCGTGATGCCGCGGCAGCGACAACTGCGGGCGGCCCGTGGGAATGAAGAAGAGAGAATGAAGGAAGTCGGCGAACTGGGCTAGGCGACAGCAGCTCGCGACTAAGGTCGGCGGCAATTTCTTGGCCGGCGGGTGGTAGTGGTTGGCGCGAAGGTTGACCGACAGTTGGTGAGAATCGAGGCTTGCGTGAAGGGTTGTTCAACCTTTTTGCGGGCTCGCATGCATGAGGCCGTGAGGGAGAAAGAAAAGAAGCCCGTGCGTGAAAGCAAAAGGGAGAACGGCCTCTTGCGTTAAGGCCAAGCCAGGAGGAGTTGGCGTTGGGCATAATGTGAAGGAGACATGCCGCTTGACTGATAAGCCAAAATGTATTGATTGCTTTTGTCTTTTGTGTTAGGATGTAAAAAGTAACCCAAAATTTTTTTAAGAGATATTTAAAGTGAGAGTGGAGGCACTTCCTATAATTAAAATATATATTAATATAATACAATAGACATAATTATAAAAGATTATCTTTATGGTAAAATTCTAAGTAAATTTTAAATGTTGGAACCATTATAAAAAGGATTGGATAGACTACTTGACTATTCTCTTTATACAAGGGGTACAGATAACTAGGAAGATGGT